AGCCGTCATTTGTATCTGATTCGTTTTCAAATCACATTGAGAAGCCGGTGCTATAATCGACATTCCCATAAGTTCAACAGTAACAGCCATCACTAGAAAGCCACTTGTTAGCAACGGCCATACTTGAGCGAAACCAAAGCCTTTTAAGATATGTATTTATAAAAGTTATTTCAAAAAGATCACATTAGTTCAGGTTCTGCTGACCTGTCTCGTTCATCATGTCCATATAATTTTCGAAACCTTCATCATAGCCTGTTATAACCATTTTGCCGATTTGAAATTTTCATGAAAAATGTACACAAATAAAAGAAAAAATCGTATACGAAACAGCTCAAAACATTTTATATTTTATGTATATACGTAGTACATAAATTAAAATATGTCAATTGAAAGAGTAATTAAATGAAAGTAAATGACATGAGGCTTAGAACCGTATTTCAAAGTATGCTCCTCCCTTTTAAGAGCGCTCGCTTGCCATGTGCTTGCCTAACTTTGTGCCATGTTTTGGGGCATTTGTTTTACATCAGCTAGAATGTAGTAGGGTGAAAAGATTGAGTGTACGTGTATGACATTAGAAACAAAAATTACAAATTTTATCAGATTGTTTCCTTTTATGCATCCTTGCTATACCGTGCATCTTAGCGGGAAGATTGCGTTAGATAAGATATCTTGACAGAAGCTGCCTACAATTGCACCTATTTCGCGTATAAATGTTGAATGGTTTGCTTGTTGTTACCCCGAGTTTTGACTACCAATTACAAACATATACATATGTTTGCATGATTATATATAATTATGACCATAATCTGCAACAAGAATACACCTAATTAATATAACTTTTATCTTCGGTAACAGTAGCAAATAACTAAACAACTGTTAGTCACTGTTGGTTGGGTCGGTTTAAAGTGAGATTAAATAAAATATTAGATTTAAAGATTATCGTTGCAATAAACGATAACAAAAAGTTATTGTTAGAACAAGTCCTATTTTCTTGGAAATAGTGGAGAGTTAAATGGAATTAAATTTTCGGAACTAAATTTTATTCTCCGATATCGTCTTCTTGTCGTTCGACTTCCGCCTTTGTCTGTTCCGTTAGTCAGACGCTCTAATATATATATGAACATGTCTCTTAGCATGGTTTATACCATGCAATAGTTCAGTTTCACCACTTTTTGCCAAACATCGCGTGCACTTTATTCTCTATTTCCCGCGAAGCGATTGATTTCGAAACGTCAATCGAAATTCTGGAGTCTCGTTGCAATATGGTCGCCTTAGTGAGCTACGTAATATTGACATGGGACGGGGCTATCATATTGCGTAGTTTTCACCTTCCACATACAAGAAACCAAAGTTTGCAAAGTTTATTGAAATACATTTATATTTAGGCTAAACTCTAGATTTCTCTAGTCTGACACAGCGCTCTAGACTCAATTCAAATTGAAGATGTTTTTACTATTGAAATGCACCAAAATTTGAGAAATATCGTAAAATAACGTCTTGAAGGCGAATTTTAAATTCTCCGCTAAAATCGGCAAATGCACGTAACCGCAACCGGCCCGCTTTCCAGCAATATTCCACTCATGAAAACTTAAATAAGCACAACACACGTATAATGCATAGTATGACAACAGATTTTTAGTTCATAGCGACAATAAAAAACGCACTTAATTTAATTATTTTGTAATTATTGTATTTGTTTATTATTATTAATTATATAAACTTTATATTAAATAATTTACTCTTTTGCAAAACTTGAATAGAAGGGCGTGTGTGTATTTTGAGTTTCCAAAGGTGATGCAAAGGCAGGCAAGTTTTTATTCTCGTTTCAAAGCCAATACTTCATCTATTCCGCATGCTGCATCAGACGGACATATATATGCGCCGATTGCATATAAATATGACAGGAACGACCGTCTGTTAAGCAAAGATAAGAGAAGAGGGTCATTGGTAGTGGTTGGTCGATTGTATGTAGTTTACAAAATTTGACCTTTGCCTTTATGTTTCAAAAACTTTATCAAAGTTGTGCGCTAAATATGTAGGCGTATTCCGTTTGTTTACATTTTATTATTTATTCTTTAATTCATATATATAAAGTTAAGAATGAATTGTTTATTTGTTTTTTTTTATATCTGGAAAATTTATAACAATTATTATAACATATTTGTAGAATAACGTATCATACGTTATTACGGATGTGTATTTAAGAACCATGTCACTCGTTTTCCCTTTTGTTTCTATGATGAATTCTGCAAAATCACCGTTAAATTTTTTATTATTATATGTAAAGATGTGTATAAATTGATGAATATCTATCTGAAAGTACACTTAAATGAATGCAACAAACACAGCGACACATTTGAAGAGGCCTCATTGCTAAGAACGCGAAAACTTTCTTGCAGTCAGAAGTTAGTCTTATAAAGCCAAGATGAAACCGTCCAATAAGATGAAATGTGAACCGATGGTAAACTCTTACATTCCTATGGAGAACTATGAATACAGTAGTAGAGGATCTACTTTGATTTCGGATCTAATTTGAGATCTCATGAATATTCGGAACTGATTACACATCGCATATTGATTAATATGTAATAAAATTTAGGAGTTTTTTTTTCAGAATTATTGCGGTACTATTTCAAAATAGATCGAGTTGATATATAAATTAGATTTGTTAAGAAGAGACTAAAACTTTCATTTTTTCATAATCATTTTCGCTTCTGAGAATATCAGTTGACCACATTCCGCTTTCGGCGTTCGGCGTTCGCCGTTCGATTTTGTATTTCTTATGAACTCTAAGGGGCATGGGTATATCTTATAACAAACTTAAGCTGTTCGTTGACAAGCATTCTTCGATATGCAAATTGCCTGCTTTCATATTCCAAGTTCTAGACTCTGTTCCAATTTGTAAGGAAAATCGCGTTTCTTATATTTCCGGCATTGCTTTTCGCATGCCTGCACTTTAATATTAAAAAATTAAAATGTAATAATGTTACCTTTCGGAACTATACATTTTCGTCGCATTCAGTTTAGTCGCGGTCGTTGAACTTGAGAAAAAGACCTGAATCACTTCCTGCTTATCTACTCTTTTGGTCTGCTCATACGTGTAGTCGATTAAGTCAAGTACGCTAGAGTTCACTTTGGTCGCAGCTACAATGAGTGCACCATCGGTAATGGCAAAACGTTTACCGATGACGCATACATGCACTACGCTGCAGCTACTCCCTTCCTCCTTCGCTCACTCTCCTAAATTCTTTCCGATCACGACTCTCTTATGCTCGTATAGGGAACAGTCTTTGAATGATTGGTCGCATTAAGGGTAAAAAAAATATTACATTCGTAAGTGTATCCAATAGCTTGTGAAAATTGAAGTATCTTATGGGAGCTGAAAATGTTTTAAAAATAAACTTCTCTTGCCATATAATGTAAGCGGGAGTGTGCGTCTAAGTAAGTAAACGCAAGTAAAGTATCCTACAACTGTATAATATTTTGGCCATGTAAGTTTAGAAGTAAGTCTCTAATAAGGGTGAGGGCGAGACGATTGCTTTCGAAAGTGAAATTTGTACTTCTTTCAACTTGAGGTTACGGATAGTTGCTGTAGTGAGGTACGTTCGGAGATTTAGGTAATAATTTAAGTAATTGGTAGGGGTCATCTTACATAACTTACTTTACATATGATTTTTAATGAAATCAAGTTTTTCTGGTATAAAGCAAAATATTTTTAGATATTTTTTAATTAAAATTTAATTAAGCTGCTCGTTAAGATTGAATTGCGCTTTGCCTCTAAAGTTTTATTTTCAATTCATTTCATTATTGCCTTTTTTCAGTTTGTCAAGTGCCGATAAAAATATTTAGCGTAAACTATATTATCTTTATAACAAACGTTGTAGTTAAAGTAATGACATAGTAAAAATGATAAAAAATTGTTAAAATTAAATTTTTTCTTCTCCTAAATTGTGCTCAAAATAAAAATATGATGCTTTCTTGTAACAGTAAAATTTCTTAAATGGTTTAGTTGAAGTCGATTTGAGTTTCTGTCAACATTTAAGATTGTCGCTGTCGTAGTGAATTATAATTGACTTTTTAATTAAAAAAAAAAAAACTCAATTTGAATATGGTAATGGAAGAAGAATTCTAGGATTTATAGGAAGAGGCTCTAGGAAAAGTAAAGAAATAGATTAAATTATAAAAAGTATAAAAATGGATATTCAAAAAACTGTTGACGATGAGACCAATCAGAACGCAGAATTCCAAACTAATCGGAATAGTAATTTACCTGTAGTTATACCTGTTATAGCAGGCGTAAAAAATAATATAACTGAGACAGAAGTTTGCCATGAGTATGAAGATGTTCTCGACATAATTGGTTTTGGTAAGACACAATGGATTGTTTTGTTTACTTCTGGCCTACTTTTAATGATGGTTATAAACGAAACTATGGGTATGAGCATCGTAACCATTGCATCGCAATGCGATTTCTCAACCACATCTCAAGAGAAAGGACTCTTGGGCGCTGCCGCGTTTATAGGTGAGAAATTTTTATCGACAGTTACATCTATATGTACGTAATAATGCTGTAAAAGAATTCGATAGTAAAACAGATCCTAAAATTTTAAGTAGATGTGGAGGCAATGTGGGCAGAACTGTAAACAACAAACAAATTTAATACGTTTTCGTGTGGCGACGGTACAGTACTGGTTCTAATATAAAAGCAAGTGAAAACATTATAATGAACCACAGATCACACACCGTACAAGGTTATCGAAAAAGTGGCGCGCCACATACCATTTTCAATAGCATTCGTCTTTGCACCAAAATACGTGAGTGTTCGAAATTTCGTCAAAATATCTCGAATGTGGCGATCCTTACGTTTAACACAAAAACAAGAGGATCATGTTTGCATTCATTTTCGGGTATTTCCGTTTTCCTACCTTAACTTTTTGTGATGTTTCGGTGGTGACAAGACGGAGACGTATGGAACACTTGACTCGCTTGGTCAGGCTTCCCTGCTGACTAGCAAAATAGATGACTATCTGAATATTTATGCATATTATATATATTGGGATGTATATATTTATATATATATATATGATCGAAAATATATATATGTATACTTATTAATTTGTTTATAATTTCAAATTACATATATGTATAGACATGTATAGACATGTAGATGAAGATTTAGGATGTAATTAAGCAGATGAAGCGGCGAATAATAAACTCTTATAGCTTTGCAGCTGTTCACGAAACACGTAATGAAGCATTCATATATCTTAATTTTACGAGCATATACGTGTAAAAGAATATTAAGGCGGGGACGTGGAGGGTTAATATTTGGTTTGTAAATTCTAATAATTTGTTCAAAACGATCAAAGTAAAGTGCAACAAGTAGTAGGGTGGGAGTTAAATACAAAGTCACTAATGAGGTTTTAAAGGGTACTGTACGCAGAAGTTGTTTCCATTTCAATTTTCTCCAATTGATTTTCAGTACAAGGACGTAAAAGGAAACTTGAAGTATTCCAACACTTTTATAAAAATATATTCCAGGTATTTTGTGCACCTCATATTTTGCGGCTTACTTATGCGATACAATCGGTAGGAGGCCGTTGTTAATATATACCACATTGTGCGGGAATATATTTTCCTTTGCATCCATTTTTACACCCTACTATTCATTGTTTGTCTTCCTACGGTTTTTAGTGGGCGCATGGTAAGTTAAATACAACAAGTTTAGGAAAATCGGTTTCGTATTAACAAAACGCCTTTTAATCCATATCAGCATAGCGGGCGCTTCATTTATAACGTATGCTTACTTAGGGGAATTCTATGTCACACGTCACCGACCTGTGGTTATAAATTACGCTTGTCTATTTGTGGGCTTGTCAGTAGCATATGTACCAGGTAGATAAATACTTTCAATTCTTTATTTGCAACTAAATCATGCTCTTAAGTAATTTAATTTTTCGTTGAAATGTTTAGCTGTGGCTTGGTTGGTTTTGTCAATGGATTGGTCTTTCGCGATTACTGAGACCTTTCAATTTCGTCCTTGGCGTTTATTAATTGTGTTTAATGCCTTACCCGGTTTTATAGCAGTCCTGGTAATGTTTGCTTTGCCGGAAAGTCCGAAAATTTTAATGTCTATGGGTAAACAAAAAGAAGCTTTTGAGGCCGTGAATAAGATTGCGAAAATGAATACTGGACGAACCTTGGAGGATTTTAAAGTTTATAGTTTGTGTCAAGAAACGCTATCAGACAATGATAAAATCCTCCTAACCTCAAAATCAGCGTAAATATATATATACATATATATATATATATATATGAATTTTTGGCAAAGGAAGAGATGTTAATTTGAAACAATTTTTCCATCTATTTATAGAAGCGAGGTTGTCAAACGGATGTGGCAGGATGCCCTACCATTATTCAAAAAACCACATGTTTTCAACTTTTTGATATGTTGTATAATAATGTGCGGAGTATTTTTAATGTGAGTTTTTGAAAAGTCCGCATATCATGCCTACAATTGAAAAGCAAGATTTAAAAACCTAAAACCTAAAAATTAAAAATGTACTGAGATATTAAACGATATTCTTGCGAATTATGTTTAAAATCCCCATTGGGCTAGAATTTTGGTCTTGTTTGATTGGTAATGGAACAAGAGGCAACATATAAATTTGGTCCGTCTACTGTGTATTACGCATACAATCATTATTCTCTTTTTAGAAATTCCGGAATGGGTCTATGGTATCCGGAAATTCAAAATCGTTTGGGTATGAAAGCTACAACCCCTATGACTATTTGTCAAGTTATAGACAGCTTTATAGATCAGCAAAACTCCACCCAGAATTCGCAGGTAAATGGGACTTTGTTCCCCCAGTTATATCAGGATTAGTAAGAAGACATACAATGACGCATTTCAGATATGTGATGATACTATTACAACCAAAAGTTATATTGACTCGTTAACGTTCGGTTTGTCCTTCACTGCTGGATACTTTGTACTCGGTTTTATTCTAAAACCTTTTGGCCGTAAACTGACTATGGTTATGGCTTTTGGGGTTGCGGCCTTTTGTGGTTTCCTTTTACATTGGCTCCATAATCCAATTGCGATAGTGGTTTGCTTTATTTTGTTCCTAATACTACCTGGTGTGTGCATATCAGTATTGAGCGGAGCTGTTGTAGACCTTGTACCCACACACTTAAGGTTTCATCTGCTCAAATACAAGCGTTAAAAATTTTTACAATCCTTAAAATTATTGCAGGGGAAAAGCTGTCTGCGTTTGCTTGATGTTGGGCCGATTGGGAAGCATAATAGGTAGTAATGTGGTTGGAGCTTTTCTGGAATCATATTGCAATGCGACCTTTAGTGTATTTTACGTATTAGTACTAGGTGAGTGGTGAGAAGGAAAAAAGTGATTTGCTTTTGATCGCAATTTGCTTATGTATATTATTTGCAGCATGTGCGGGCTTGGCTATGCTCTTACCTATTGGTAGAAAATCATGAGCGTGCAATGAATTATTTCCCACAGATTGTTTCTAATTAATGTGTATGTGCATACCTAAGTTAAAGATTTCAAGATTTAAGTGCATAGTTTTATTTTTTTTTTTTTTTTTAATATTTAATCGAGATAACTTTTATAAGCGGCTTTTTTTATTTATATTACCTCTTAATCAAATATAATAAGAATTTAGTTTAAAAATAGTGCAACAAGATTTTACGTATGTTCTCTATTCTTTTATTAATTTAAAATGTGGTAATACATTGTTGCCAAAAAATATACTAATTAATCTGTGCTCCAGTAGATGTTACAACAAATGCGCTGATGATTATACTTATCTTAAATCTTTTAGGGAGAGATTAAACCAATTGGAAAGAGTCTCCCGAGTTGTGAGCGCGATTCTATAACGAATATATTAACAAATATATTACGATTTGATTTCCTTTATATTTCTTTTCTTTTAGTAGCAATTACCATTTCTCCTGCCTCGCCTAAGCGATTTTTAAGCATTTGCATCAAGTAACTACGTTTACCAAAGCTGTTTAAAAACCGGGAAAATATTAAATATAAATTTAAATCTATATAAATGGTTATCGGTTTACCGAATTCTGGCCTTGCCGTCGTAGAAATTTTCCAGTTCTTGCAGATATTGGAGAGCTTCCTCAATATTGGCAATTTCGTCATTACGCGTTGGTCTTGTATTTTTTCCGAATACTTTCGCGTTAAACAGAGACAGAATAGTCAATAGGACGAGAACGCGACGTAAAGTGTATGCCATTATGAAATAAATTTTCTGAAAGCAAAAAGAGAGAAATACACACACATATTCGTACTCGCGCAAGTAACTAGTTATTAAAATGCATGAGTTGTGTTTTGGAAAACGTTTTGTAGACCTGCTTTTCCTTTCCATAAAAATGAAACCTTTTTCTTGCACTCTTGCACTTTACATGCAAAATGAAAGTGCACTTTCCAAATGGATCATGTGGCTCGAAAATAGTGCGAATACTTCTTATTTTCTATTAAAACTTATTATTACTTGCTAATTGCAAGTCGAAAATTATATATCAAAGCTATGAAACTGATCTTTGACCATAAATATATGAAATTTGATCTACTACTTGAAATGATATAATGGTTAGTAGATGTTTGTATAACTTGTATGGGTTTTCCTTAAGGCGGTTATAAAACTTATAGCACTTTTCACTCGTTGGCAAAGAGCCGCAAAACAATTCTGTCAACTAGATCATAATTTGCTCTTACAGCGAATTTATTTTTTTAATTTAAAATTCTCTTCTAATATGCACAAGGCTTTTATTCAAGTGCTGAAAAGTATTATCTGTTTGCTTACGTAGAAAATAACGATAATATGTCACTTAATTACACGTTGGTTGATAATATTATAACGGCAGAACAAGGAAGTGACTTCCCTTTATATAGGAAATCGAAAAGGAAGATATAATCGACTAAAAAAAAAAAGAAAAAAAAAAGGAATTCATCCAAACAAAGTATATAACAGTGTTTGTAAAGACCGCGGATTTTATTAGAATTAAATATATGTCAGCGCATGCAAACACACATTGTGACATATGCTAAAGAGAGGCAAAACTCGAGACAATGCCGTAAACGAATCATACGCAACATAATTTATATATATTTGTACGTAAACTATGCAAAAAAAAGGAAGCGGTTGTATTCGAATATTTTAGTACACATTATTATTATTATAATAATTTTCGTGGGTGATGCTCTATCGCTAACTTGGTGCGAAGTTCTTCTCCCTCCGTACGCATATTTCGCCGGCATGTATTGTTACAGGTTAGGCGGCGCTGGCATTCAACTTTAAACTGTAGCTGAACCACTAAAAATATCGTGACTGTGTTCATGGATAGATCTTAGAACTTAAACCTACGAAACTAACAACAAAGGTTTGAGAGCAAACTATCTTGATTTTAAATAAAGTTTATGACTCTAGTGGATAGGCACGCAAGAGTGTCCCGTTTTCTCAGATCACGAATATATATATTTTACGGAACGCCCGATGCATGTTTCAAGTTCTTCCAAACATATGGCCGATCTAATATACCACCTAGAGTGGGTACCGAAAAATTAAATAAATAAAAGAAAACAGAATGGTTTCAAAGTATGAATGAAAACCTATAACAAAACTTTGCAAAGAAATATTAAAAATTGAAATTAGAAAACTGATAAGTTCTCGAATGGGAAAATGTGATAACTTTATAATTACCTTTTTCTTTGCTTCTTTAATAAAAGTTTGACTTTTGTATTAACACGAAATATTAAAATTCATTCATTTTCGAACAGGAAGTTCATAATGATCCTGTTCGAAAAAACTGCGCTTCCGATTTCTAAGTATTTCTTTCACATGCACTAACTAAAAGAGAAGACAAGTAAAAAGAGGATGAGAAAATCGTTTACAAACTTCTAAACAGTTCGCAACCTGGCTTCTAATAGATATTCGTTCATTCATTTTTAGAATTTACCTGATATTATTCCAAAGTCAATTTAACGAGTCCGGCAATGGCGAATTTAAAACGAAATATGTTGTTTCAGGCGTATTTCATGAGATGACGAAAAGTCATTTAGATGGCAAAATCAGCAACGTTAGTCACTCTCCTAAAGAAGCGATACTTTTTTCATGGATTACATAAGAAGCGTTAAAGCATTTATTTGTTTGTTGAAAGAGAAGGCTGAAAAAGATTTAAAACTAAAAAACAGACGCTTCGCAGATCCGGCTAAAATTTCAAGCTATTCTTGATTAGCTCTAATTAGTTTTAGTTTTTGTCTATTGGATTGAGTTGGCGATTATTAAACACTCGTCCAAAGGTGCAACATGTACAAAAATTCTTTTTGTTTCTCTCTCCCTCCCTCCCTCAATGTTGGCGACTATAGAACGCGAGGAGTCGGATGTCGGATGAGACGAATAATCCAACCTATTAATCAGATTATTGTTAAAGGAGCAAATAAATTGAAAAATTAACAGATACGTTAATAATGTTAAGACTCTCAACAACGTTAACAAACGCCGATCTATATATGCCCATTGAACGTAAATTATAGAGAGTATTAACGGTGTGTGTTCATTTTACAATAAAAAAAAAAGAAGACATTATTATAACAATAATAATAATGCGTTAGCATAGCTTGAGGTAGGAACATAGAAACGTTAGGAGTGTGGTTTGCGAAAACCAGGCGGACTGGTCTCCTATTCAGACCAAAATTATTGTTTTGCGCCTTAAACTTATCTTAAATTTGAATTTAATTAATTTTGTGGGTCGATTGTACTGATATGCTTAGGATTCGCGTCTGGCGTTGATAAAATATATAGCCAAACTACTTTTAAATGCAGATAATCTGTCCTATTACACACTTTGATTGTTATACTGTCAGTATGTATTGTTATGATCGGTCCGAATACCTTGTTGTCATATATATATATATGACATACTACGTTCAAGAAAGTGGCAAATGCAACATTACGTATACGGGGGTAAACGAATATAACTGTAATGCCTGTTAGGAAATATAAAACGATAAGACGCAGAAGAAACTGAAGGAGTTGAAAAATTTATTGGTCTGATAGATGGTTAATGACAATATTATTTTGTAAAATTAGTGCGAGTCGGATCAGTGACTCGATCATAGCTGGGAAAATTGTTTAAAATATTTTCCGTGAGTTATTTGTTAATATGCAGATGTAGTGCAGACCCAGGCCGTCCGCATTTCCAGAAGGTGAAGACCGACGAAAAGCTCCATTACATTTCATTCAAGTTTTGTACATATTATATTAATTTTAATCAGTACCATTACTGCAATTGATTTACCGCACTGTGACTCTCTCTTGCCGAACTGTAAAAACTGCGAGGAGGGAAAATTTATTTATTTAGTCTTTTGTCAATAAAGAAATAAAACGATAAAAATGAAAAGCTGAAATGAAATGATTTATTTACATTAGAATTTTTTTGCCACCATCTAATTAGCTATCTATCTATCTATCTATCTATTTGCGATAACACTCGTTTAAAGGCTTAGTTCCGAAGTGACTTTTACGGCATTTGTGATTTATTGTTAACGTCATTTGAATTTTTATGTACACCTGCAAGCCTGTTAGCTAATAGTACCGTGTTCGGCTTGATAGGGATTGCACTCGGTGAAGCGTTCTAGTTTAATGCCCGTGTACGTGGATAAGTAACTAAACTATAAAATATAACACAGCTTGCTTGGTTATTAAACTTGGGAGTACGATAATGAATGATTTCAATTACGTTAACAAATGTTTTTCCTAACAGTTTTTAACAATGTTCTACTGGTATATGTTTATATATTATAATTGCATTAATAGCAATGATTTCGTTAATTACATCATTAAGAGTTTTCTACTTAAGTAATTGATTTGAGGACATTGTCGGTTAAACACGTGACGTGAGTTTTGTAAGCGTAGCAACATAAATTATTCTTAATTGCAGCCTTTTAACATTTCTTCTTAAGATAATATATTTTTTTTGTTGCATTTGTTGCACTTGTTGCAATTATATGAGCAATGCAAGTCAACAGGTCGTGCAATCATTTCATAAATTATCTGTTAATGACGTTAACTACCTGAAGCCGATTAGAAACTGCGTAATTAAATTTTAAACCACTTTTGAATGCGCTTATGGAACATTGCATATCATTGTTTGTTTATTATTTTGAAAGCTTAACAGCTAACATAGATTGATAAGAATTTTTTTTAAGTAAGCGCTTTTTAACATTTCTTAAGCTTTTTTATACGAAGCTTTTCAAATAGCGCAGAGCAAAAGTTTCATGTTAAATATTAGCGCAGAATTTAATGGAGAAAGCTCAGGATTGAGTTCGCAAAAAGGCATAATTCACGCACAGCGATGCTCACATTAGCCAAAAAGAAAAACTAACAACGTAAAAAACTTAGAGCAGGCGTTTACAAAGCCGCTTTTATTTGTCAGCTTCTGTGCAAGAATAGGCCGGACTTGCTTACAAACTATTGAGTTCAAAAACTTACAACCTCTTTAAAAGTAAATTAAAACTTGGTGTAAATATTTTCTTTGATTCATATTCGCAAAGCCTAATTGAGTCCAGGTGTCACATCACGTATTAGAAAGCCTTTATAATTTTCATGCATTAGTTTACGATTTGTTGAAAATCAAAAATTTCGAACGAGACGAAAGGTAGCTTCTTACTTGTTAATGTTGGACTTGACTCCATTTTTCGACTTATTGAAAATCGTTCATTGCTATCAGCAAATAGATTTTTTCTCGCGTTGAGTTTGCTGGTAGAATGATTTGAAGCAAATGATGAAGTGTAAGCAAAGTTCTTTTCTTTTCATATTCAGTAGCGTATAATCATATTAAAGTCCAGAAAACAAATACAATGTTGAGCGCAATGTAAGCGGGTTTTTTCATGATCGCATGACATAAAAGAAATTCAAAATTTCACGTCATTAATTCACATTATAGATGATGAGGGCACGAACCCAAGTGATTTATGTTTTTGTTGCTTTTGCGGTTGTTTACGAAGCTGCTGTGTAAACTTTTCACAAGATCGTAATTAGATCGTAGTAGATTAAATAAACATTGTCATGCGATCAGCTTCAACTCTATACTCGTTGCGTTTATCTGCAAATGCATTTCAGAGTATATTAACTCAAGGGTACATTTGGGGTCTTAGCTGTTAGTCCTCATCCTATTTTAATCCAAGAATTCGTTTCTTTGGGATAAAAATATTATAATAAAGCATATAATGAATTAAATAATTTTAAAGCAGCACGAAGTATATAAAAATAAGTACATATATACATATATACGAAACGTTCACGTAAATAGTAATTAACCTGAAGAATGATAAATGAAAGTTTTGTTAGGAGCTTTTTTTTTTCTTTAAGAAATTGGTTTAAAAAACTTTCATTTTAAATTAATAAAATGTATCATCAATAATTATAATTAACTATTACAGTTTAATCAATTAATTAATTCTGTTAAGAAATTCGCTAATTTAGATTAACTAAATAATTATGCAAACAAATCATAACAATCATTATTAAAATACAAAAAAAGATTTATTATAGATAAACAGGCAACACTTAATACTGGTTAATCTACTTGTTTACAATTTCAATTGCTTTTGACCTCTACACTTAAAACGTAGAAAATGCAATAATGTCATATTTATTGTAATCAAAATATACCTGAAATCTTATTAAGTATAATTAATAGTTATTGTTTTCTTAGAATATGTATGTATATGAGTCACGTGTACAGTCGTCACAACCACGTGCCATTAATTTTAGAAGGAAAACAAATGAACATATTTCTATGATTTGGCGATAAGTCCTTTAAACATCGTTTACCCAAGCTTACGCTAAATAATTAAAAATAAACACAATTATATATTCATATCTAAATGTATGAATGTAATGCATAGAAAATTGGAGATAATGCCCTCTTAGCTGATAATGGGTAAGAAGGCTGAGCTTTTTCTACCCAGCTCTTTTAAGAAAAGCTTAACATTAACGCATGTAGCGAGAATTATTGTTAAGGCTCTGCGCGGTAAGAAGAAAGAAATATCACACCATCTGCTTATGTGTGCATACATACTAGAGACCGGTTAAAAACTGAAAACACTGAAGAGAGATCTATAAAAGAGTCATACAGCAGCCGCAAGATCCACATTAAATTCAGAACGCGTGCACGACTAGCAGGTGATAAATGTTGATACATATTTATTGCATTTAAAAGTAAAATATATATAAGAATATGGAAAATAAATAAAAAAGAAAATTAAAAAGAAACTGATCCAGAACTATCGCTTATATTGTGACAAATATAAAGAGAACGGAAGAAATTAAAAAACCGTGGAATTTAAAAATATTTCGAAAACTTTATAAACGCGAAGATTTTTGAAGATCATTTTTAAATACATAGCCATAAGAGAAGAAACAAGTTTAAAAATGAAAATAAATATATTCGCGCGCGGCACAAGTCCTTCGACTAATTTAAGTAAGTTTCTGCATTTTTGCATATAATAACACTTTTTTTTTCGAACATTAACAAAAACAAAAGAGAGTCTATGAGAGAGGGCTACAATGTCAGGTATATGTTGTTGATGTTCTTTTAACAGCTAAGAGTAATAAACTAAAAAAATGCTAAGAAAATTTTTAGCACTTACCACATTTTTGAAAATATTCGGGACACATTAATAACACATTTCTACTGGCCGCCTTAAATAGCACAGTACGCTAGCGATAGGACACGCAACTAAAATACTGTTGTAATTGAAAGTTTGTAAGTGCAGCGGTTGCGAATTTAGTTAAAGGATTTCATGCTTTTTTTACTTTTAAGCTCTTAAACGTCGTCTTTAGATTCCCCGCAGACAGATTGAGCGACAAAGTATACGATTTTACAAGAACTAAATTTAAAGCTAGAAGAACCGTTGTACGGGGCGAAGTTTCTAAAAAATGTGGTCTGCATTGCATTTCATTTCATTTACATCCTATTCGTAGATAACCCGAAGATGGGCGATGCCTTTCATTTCTGTATGATTTAAGCTATGCTTTTTTTGTGACTTTATTAATTTCCACTTCCGTTAGCATTCTAATCGATCGGTCGTTTCTGGCAATGTGTTGTCTGCTCGTCTGCAATCGAAACTGACTAATATCTTAGTTAAAAATGACGTCTAAATTTTTTAATTTTTTTTTCAATTTCAAGCTCAAAAAGATGAAGGAAGAAAGTTATGTTCATCTATCTCGAGCCCATTTTACATTCAGCATTTGGCATAAGGTGGACCCAGATGATCTTGTCCGTTTTTTTACAAATACTTTACGCTGAAATTTTTATTATCGTGTCCGCTGTAGTTGACGAGTAATGAAAGTTAAAGTTTAAACTTTTATCTAAAGCTATGAAATCCAAGTTTACGCTATATATAGAGAGAATAGAGTAAAGAGTAGCGTAGGGTCGATTATAGAGCGTGCTAAGTCGGCAAATGTTCATGTACCTACTAGGATGCGGCTTATTCCCTAACTCTTTCTCTTTCCTCTCATATATATATATTTCTAACGTAACGCTTCTTGGGCAGAGGAGGGCATCAAATTATAAAAAGTGACAAAATGAGGTAATTGTATCGTGAGTTAGTCCAGTTGCGGCACGATTGGGAACCCTATTCCTTCACCTCGAAGTAGAAAATTTACGAATTATAAATAAAATAATGATTATAAATAAATAATAAGTGAGTGATGAAAATTTTTCAAAAGTATTTCTTAACGCGTTTCGAAAAATTTGATTGAAAAAGTCGCACACACACACGCACATACAAGCAATGATCAAGCAAACGAACGCACTGGAGTTTAAGAAAAATTTGAAAGAAAAACAGGTTTACTTTGTTAAAATAATAGATTTTGCTGCCTTTTAATAGATACTGAAAACGAAAACATTAGCAATTTCTCAAGCGGAGACCAATTACAATTGGTTTAACCCAAAATCAAGACAACAAAATTTTGAAAAATAACAAATTAAGATACTTTTATTGACCTTAATACGAATTTTGGGCACACTCCGTGTATGGTGAATTGAAAAGAGCCGTTAAATATATGTAATAAATATATATGATCATATCGGCCGAAGCCGTACGATGTGGATGGTAATATCTTGACATATTACATTTTTGCTTGTGCTGTTTTAGTTTTTGCTAATGTTCAGTTTTCATCCGACATTTCGAGGCATTGAAAAACCCAAAAAAAGCACAAAGCAAAAGTAAATCTGATGCTATCAATTGTGTGTGCACCTATTATAAAAGATGTGTTGGGATTAACCTGCTCTCTGTCCCTAGGTGACGCATCTACAAATAAAACAATTTAACACAAGGTATACAATTAAATATCGCAAGATATTCATCATATTCACTTCAGCTCGGGGATTGTTGGTTTGAGTAGGAATGAGTTGCTTATAAAGCGTTAAAAATGTGAAGAACACCCAGATAACCGTATGTTTTTCTATTGCTAGTATTCGTTTTGTTATTACTATATGCGAAAATAGATGTTGCGATATCTAAATAGTATAGAAGGCTTTAGCTGCTAAGTTTAATTGCCGGTTATCTTGGATAGACTTGCACTCGTTTTTCATCGTTGTTGAAAGGAGATGCTTTTGATGGTTGTCAGGATATTGCTTGTGCTGAAAGTGAATTTACGTCCAGTTAGGTTTCACAGTTAAAAGAAGCTGTGAGTTGAAACGTAAGTTTTTCTAAGTTTAACAAGATGGTGGGCCGCTACTATTCTGAACTAATCTAAACTGTCAGAGGAGCATATGGACACTAGGCAATGTTTGAGGCAAAGTGTCACTTGTATGGACGATGATGTTCCTACATCAGGTTATTCAACTCGTTATTATTAATATTATTAAAGTCTTTTTCCGGATTTCAGGTGTAGAAATCGGTCTTTTTTTCCTATTTTCGTCACCTTTTATTGTTGCCGGGCGCAAGAGTTATTTATACCTTTTCTTCAGTTAATTATTTTTATTTTTTCTACAAATTATTATCTCTTTGTTGTTGCGTGCATTTATGTTATAAGGTCTAAGAGTCGTTAAAAAATTGGATGAAGGAAATCACGGATGTTAAGCTATATTTACGTTGTTTAAATTTACCTCAGCGCTTATGCTTAAGTACAAAAATAAGTTTTATGCATTTTTTAGAAACTGCAAATGTATTTTAGTTATGATAAGTATAAAAGAAAATGCGCAATAATAAGAGCGTATCGAAAACTGACTAATGCATCTTATTGATTTACGTATCAAGAATTTTCGGAAACTCCTGCGTAGTTCAGATAAAGTAAATGTTGAGCATTATTCCTAGTAAAATGCATATAGTAATGATTGTCCGAAAAGCCGAAACTTTGCTTATTAAACAAAAATGAAACGTACACCAAAGAGCTGTGTACAAGTTTAAAGTTGTTTAATAACTTGAACTTGAACTTCATTGCAGGCCATATAAACGACACTTGTTATCATTGAGGTTGGTTCGTGTAGGCAGTGCCGTCCGTATATCGTTGTTCGTTATATGATGGATTATTTAATTTCCGGTCATAAACGGGTTTTGCTTTAGGATGCAGTGCCCTAAACGCAATAAGCTATGAAAAGCTTTAAGATTTACTTCTTTAAAATTGCATTCACTTCAGCAAACTACTTGTGTATTGCAATGAATTGTTTAATTTTACGTTATTTTGACTGTATGTGACTTTCGGAAACCGGTTTGTTTAACACTTTACACTATGTCTGTCTGACTGACCAGTACACGTAAAAAAAATTCAAAATTTCGTTCATCTATTAGATGACCTTGTCACAGATGCTTCAAATTTGGTAGCGATATAAGCGTTGGGTGCATTACACTCATCATCCAATGCTGCGCTATAATCTTCTACACGCAACTTATATGGTGCAGATTTGTCGCTATGTTACTTCAGGGCTGTCATTGTTTTGATTGTCGTACGCTTTGCATATATTTATTTGCACATGTGCGAGTATATGTATAGAGTAACTGTACAATTTAGAATCGTATAATTGTAGTGCCGTTCATTATTATGATCAATTTATGCAAATTAAAGATGAAAATACACAATTACATATTTTATACCGAGATAATGATCTTTGAAACAATTATAATTTAAAATAAATTAATGTCGATTTTTTAAGTGAATAACTCATGTCTAGGGTACTAGTAAAGGTCGAAATATGAAAAAGGCTAAATGTAATCTAATGATCTTAAATCAATTATACGAAACGTATTAAATGAAAACCTAAAATATTCACGCGATTGAACGCGATTTTATTAATGGAAAATTTTACATAATAATTTCATTTAATTGAGTTCAGCGATTACTTTTGTATAAATCTATTTACCCTGTCGACGATGTTGTAAATAGAAAGCAAAATACCGCATACCTGTTATCATTTTGAGGAAAAGTGTGCACAAAGAAGTCAAAAAGTTCACTTTCTGGCAAAAAGCAGTTTCGAGGGAATGATTCCCGTTGAGATATAATTCACACGTCAAGGGAAATGACTTGAAAACTAAATAGTCTTCCTTTATAGACTAAAAACTGTCTGTCTTGTTTAGGTAGGTATGCTTTAACAATTTAAAGAATTTGCGGTGGTTGAAACAATTCTCGATTTCTCAAGGCTTGCATCCTTTTTAATGGATTTCAAGATTAGCATATTCTTTCAGTGCATCCATTCCGGTGTCTATCAGTAGGCTTTCGTTCTTGTGTGCCAGTCTTAAACTTAGGTGTGCGAAAACGCTCAGTTGCTCTGCTTATTCTAAACGGCTGAGATTAGTAGCTACGTTGCAGTGAAAGATCTGCCTTGTACTTATTATGTTGATGTTGCTCGCATCATTTATTAGCAACATTGAGCTATTTAGATCAAGATATTGACAACCTGTTTTTTAAATGAGATATTATTGTAAAAAGTGCAGTTCGATAAACACTTTCCGGTAATTATTGATTAATTGCAGATCTTTCTAAACAATTTCGCTATTTTTCAAACAACCGTTCAAACTTTGCAAAAGTTTTTCAAATAAGTTAATTGAAGCGAAGATAGTTAAGTATCTTTTAGTCTTAATGTTTCAGTCGACAATGGTTGCAATACAATTGAGAGTAAAGTGCGTAAAAGCGAAAGGCACCGCGAATCTTTTTTGATGGAGGTAGAGGTTAGATGGAGGAGATATATATATTTACATAGCACGTCGTTGAGATTCACCCTTGTTTTGTTAAGAATTCTGCTTACAATTAAGTCGCCTTTAGTCGAAAAGTTGAGAGTTAAGTTAACTCTGCTGACAACAGATGTGAAAAAGTCAGTCACGAAATGCCTTCAATCAAGAGAACATTTAGCCAGTGGACTTTCAAAATATAAGTCAAGGCAAGGAAAGTTATCCTCTCTTCATCTTTATGAAATCCATTTGCAATGTTCAGTTATTCATAGAGCGTTTACAGTTTTCACCAATAACGAGATAAATGTTAAGAAAACAAAATAGAAAAATGTTAAAAACTAGTTCGCCTTAGGGCGAATCTCTAACACTCATCACTTCCAACTGATAAATTAAGATTGCGTAGCATTTTATTACGTGCGGACAAGCCTTAGTCAAGCATCTTTTGTAGGCTGAAAGTTAGAGTTTCTTGGCTTTGCTAGGCATATTTGGAGACTGTGATTATCACGGCGGTGTTACAACAGCAGAAGATAGACAGGCGGATAAATTTACGACAAATCTCACGCTGATCAAAAATATGTATTTAAAATATGAAGTTTTTGGTGTTAGTATATCCACATTCTTCGCGGGTAAGTATAATAGATAAGCAAATACCAATACCAATGAGCATCTTTTTTCTTTTATTCACGCTAAGTTTAAAAAGATTGGTATGTACACGTACGTAAATGTGTTTAGTTATCAAATACCACGCAGTTCAATGATCTAATGTAAATTGTGTAGTGTAGTACAGCGATTGTTGTTAATTTCAATACCACAGCTGAGTCTTGACGTTGCGATAGCTTAACGAAGTAAGCAGTTTAAGATGAATTTACGTATTATGTGTATTTATGTTATGTATATTTAAATTTAAGTGCTTATAAGCCCAAGTTTGGTTTTGGCTGGCAATTTTTTCGATTGTTTACACAATCGAAGTGTTGAAGTCACGCTGAACTTTACATATACCAATATTGTTATCATAACCGATTTTATCCCTTATATTAATCCGAAATAAGTTATTACACTATTGGCTTGTGTATGTATATTGCTAGCATCTCGTGTCCTGTCTTTAAAAATCTAAGTGTAATTTTCTTCTCGCCTGTTTTGAAAGTCTCACTTTTCTCCTGGCACTCTCATGTATCATTCCCTTTATTTTTTTAAACTTTTCTGCTGCTTCTTATTTCAAATCAATTTTATAGAAATTCTTTCAGTTGGTTTTTTGGGGATAATTTTGATGCTGCTTGCCACAACGATTTTCATCATTGATCCTGTCAGAACGATTGTGAAGTCTGTAAGCATATGACTTCTATGGCTAGTAATTTTCCAAGTAACTCTTTCCTTTTTTTAATCGTAGCAAATGAGCTTTCGAAAAGGTTCTACTTTATTTAAAGTTTGGCAGAAGCCGCCTCTTGACATTTTCATTACCGTTTACATGTTTAATGTTACGAACTATGACAGATTTTCCCGCGGTGTTGACCATAAAATGAAGTTGGAGGAAGTGGGTCCGTACGTTTACCAGGAATTTCTGGAAAATCATAATGCAACCTTTCATGCCAACAACACGGTAACGTTTGTACCAAAGCGCACGGTCAAGTTTGTTAGAGAGCGATCAGTGGGTGACCCTAAGGTCGATAAAATCATTGCTCCGAATTTACCTTATTTGGGTGCCACATCACTAGCTTCTTCCTTTTCAATGATAACTGCCATGGCTTTAAGGGCTTTAACAAGGCAACTGCAATCGAAAACAATGTTGGATATAACAGTGCACGACTATTTATGGGGGTATGAAGACCGCCTAGTGTATTTGGCTTCGAAACTTATACCGCAAATTATTAATTTTGAGAAATTCGGTTTATTGGAACGCATGTTTAATGAAGGCCATAATGTGGTTAACATGCACTTACCTGGCAGCAAAGTATCAAAGGACCAACAACCGAAGTATTATAGGGAGTTCTCCATTAATACTTGGAATAATGAGAAAAGTATACATTACTGGACCAACAGCAGAAAACAAAAGTAAGCAAAATACTTCCATAGAATGGTTCGGAATACTCTAACATAAGCAACTTTTCAACTTAGCTTAACCAACTGCAATAGGGTATATGGCACCTTTGACGGTTCCTTGTTTCCTCATGACATAGAGAAGGGTGAAATTTTTCGCATCTACCGCAAAACATTCTGCCGTACACTACCTATCGTTTTTACCCATCCTAGCACCATTAATGGAATTGAAGCTTATAACTTTAAATTGCACGAAAAATCTTTTGACAGTGATCTTAGTGACCGGGATTCCTCATGTTTTTGCAAAAATCGAAAATGCCTAAAAAGAGGTCTGGGCAATATAACTCCTTGTTACTACAGTAAGTACTTCGTTACGGGCGGAAGTAGATAAAGGAAATTCATATAATGTTTGCGTTTTCTCATTTACATTAAGACATACCTTTGGCCATCTCGTTTCCGCACTTCTTTAATGCTGATCCTTCACTATTGAAGCCATTCGAAGGTTTGGATCCAAACGAAAGGAAGCATGGAACTGAAATTGCTCTTCAACCGGTAATTTTTACTCGTGAAAGTTTGAAACTTTTTGTAAGCTTTGTAAACTCTCTTCAGCAACTTGGCATTCCCATGAGTGTTAAATCGCGTTTCCAGGTCAACTTAGCCATGTCCGACGTATCCTTTAACGGAGAAGTTCAACGTTTTCGAAACATGGTCCTACCGATATTCTGGCTACAAATCGTAAGTGGATTTTATTAATTTAAAAAATTTAATTTGGTTTCGATATTCGATATCAATTCTCTATTATTATCGGAAAAGAAAGAAATTTCTATGTGAAATAGTTGCATTAGTAACATATAAAGGTTGCTTAGCGCTTTTTGTTAACCCATACAATACAGCTTTCCTATTCGCTTTATTTCACATGAATCGCATTTATTAATGCCTTTCCAGGGTCTTGACGACCTTACACCGTATTTGAAAACACTGCTTATTTTATCGTTTAAAGTCGGACCCATTGCGCAAGACTTTTTAATGATTACATTAATTGCTGCCGGTTTATCATCAATTGCCTGCGCCATATGGAAAAGTCTCCCCGAATCATTAACCAAATATGCAACGATAAAAACTATAAAGTTCCCTCTAGATAGGAGAGTGTCAGTGAAAAGGCCGGATACATCTATTCAACCACTTTTGCAAGATGAGAAAACGATAGAGCTGCAAAACTGGATCGATGAGGACGAAAAAGGTTCAGTGTTCACATTTACGCCCGTGGAAGACTCGGGCGAAACATTTTAGAAGAGTTACGATAGATTTGAGAGCTAATCATGCGTACAGTTACACATGCGACTTTTATTAAGACTGTGATAATACTCGATAAGATCTTCTTTTTTTTTTTTTTTATAAATAGTTAAGAAATATTAGGGGCAGTTTTCAAATTGTTGTTATTGTTTTTATTACATATTTGCAATTATTGTATTAAAGGTGAGGTTATAATAGTTATTTAAGTTAATGTCTTTATAAATAGTTCTTAAAAGATGCAAACTTTATAATAAATTTAAAAAATCTTTATGTACAAAGGTATGCTATGTGAAATTGTTGTACTTTTTGGTGAGTGTGTTGACGTTTACGCGAAAAAAAGATCACAAAAGTTTTGCTTCCATCATTCGTAGGCGATGGTATCTTTTATCCATTTCATATAGCGTGATATTCTTACATAAACATCCGGATAACCTGCAACTGCGCAACCTGAACCGAATGAAGTGATACCGGCCAAAATCCAGGGACCATCTTTCGTTAAGCGGCACTGTAAAGGGCCACCGGAATCGCCCTGGTTTTATAAAAGCATTTAGAAGTTCATAGTTTCTTGTTTATGTTCTTAGTGCGCTTACCACACAGGTGCCACCTTTACCGTTTAATTTCCCCGCACACAAGTGACCGCGATGTATTCGCACAAAACTTCCGTAAGCTTCTTTACATCTAAAACAATTACATACACTGCATAATTTAATGAAACCTTTTCACATTTAAGTGCATTTACCCAGTTTACCTTCGATTGTTGTGCAATGGTACACTAGTTTTTAGCAATAAATCTGTTAAGTCTCCGCTTATGTTAGCTTTACCCCAGCCGGTGGCTATGCAATCCATGTAAGGTAATTCTTTCGTATTGTCAACATAACGTAAATGTTGTCTATGTTCATTAAATTTATTGATGTCAACTTTTTCACCATCATATTGTTGAAAATTCATATATCTGTCATTACGTCTTTTAATACGTGCCACGGTGCCAATACGATTAACTTGATTGATTCTTTTTAATCGGTTGAGAATCTTTAAATCCATTAATTGTTTCATAGTGGGTATAGTAACGTTGTGATGAGGCTTCTGAGTTTGAACGCTGCGTAAAAAATTTCCAAATTTTTCTGGTATTTCATTTATATCAAAGTCAGCCGTTGTACTCAGTTGCTCATTCAACGTTTCCTCGCTATGATCATCTGAATTTGATTGAACGCCGCCAAATAAAAATGGTAAACAGATTCTCCGTATATTTGATTTCTTTGAAAGGTTCGCTGGCATCGATAATTTCATTAGCACTAAATCATGCAGGAAATTTTCGTATTTTCTATGTAAAAAAATTTTTTCAATTGGTATTCGTTGTTCGTAACCCGACTCCACGGCACGGTCGTAATCACCTAATACCACGGTCCATAAAGGCGGCAAAGGTAGGTTAAATAAATCGTTATGTACACAATGAGCAGCTGAGAGGATCCAATATTGGTGTATCAGTACAGCACCACACCAGTGTCCCAAAAATCCCAAGGATGGATGCAAAAGTTCAAGAGATGCTTGCCATGGAAATTGTCCGTCTTTGGTATACGTTCCAGCTATAATTTTCGCGGTACGTGAGTGATTTGAGACTGTTACAGGTAATTCCTGTCTCGATGGTCGTACTCCACAATCTGGGAGTAAAAGAATTTAGAAAACAATCATTGCATCATCTTTATACGTAAAGAAATTCGAAGGAGTACGATTGACGAAGAGTTTTAACTAAACATTGTAACGTCTTACTTTATCGTAAGTTTGCATAGGTTCGAGGAAAAAATAAACAGGAATAAAAATTAGAAAGATATGATCGATCACAACTTCTTTTATATGTTGTGTATATTATTCCTGTCCTTCATATAGAACTTCTTCTCTTTTTATAAAGTTTCGCTTCTTAAAGTGAGGAGCTCTTACTTGCTTTCCCGAAAAGTTTTTGCAAATCGGGTACAGGTAAGATAACTATTGAACTGAAAATACCGTAGTAGGGATATAAGCAAAGGAAGTATTTTTTCCACTGCTTCATAAAGATTGCTATGTTTCGATTGGTTGAACGGCAGCGTTAATAGGCTATCTTGGAATGTGTTCCGTCCCTTTTATGGTGTTAATAGCATAGCATTTTAGGATCAAATTTTCAAAATTGGCAAAAAGAAGCGCTAGAAAACCTAAATCTTAATTTTGCAATATCAGCTCAAAGAGCACTAAAAAGCTTTTCTGGAAATGATGTTTACATGTGAGAATTTGTAGGAAGGAGTAGTAATGCTGTATATTTGGTGTATACCTTTTGGCTTCGGGCATTGATAGGTCATTTCTTTGTGCTAATAAATATCGTAATAAAACCGTCGGTTATTAGTAAGTGAGTTAGAGTGTAATGTAATTACCGGTAGCAAATTGATTTTTATTATAATACTGTGAGGCAATCGATGATGCGATAGTTGTTGCTGTTCGATCATATGCTATCATTAACCACAACAACAACAAATGAAAATTGAAACACATTTTTAAACATAATTCACTAAATTTAATGTTAAGGCAAGCGAATATAATAACAAATTCGCGTTACATCGAAGAAAGTACGACGTTTAATATAACGGCTACCCAATAAAATCATTTGCAGTGCATTTGTACGTGCGCCCGAGTGTGCGCCTCTCTGTACGCTCAATTTGTGAATTTCTTTTCCTCGGCTATTTCGATATGCAATTGCTTATATGCATTTTCTAAATAAAAGCAAAAAAAAGCCTGTAAAGTATATCACAGAAAGTCTCATAGAGTTTTAATTCAAATTAAAAACGAATATTATATATATCGGATGGTTTTTTTTATGATAGCGTTATTGTTGTTGCTTTTGTTGTTTTCGTTGTCGCTGACACTGCTTCAATTTCATGATGACAATGGCTTTCACGTTTTATAAATTATTTGTGACATTATTTCAAGTCTTCCACTTTTTGGTTTTTAGTGTTTCTTAATGACATTTAAGATCTCGGAGCACTTGTCTTACAATCTATTGTACCATGTAACGGTAGCAGCTAACGCTAACATCGCTGGCAGCGCCTTTAAAAGGGCCAATGCAGACGCGGTGTCCATAACATTCTACAGTCTATTTTACAGTTGGACTTTGGTTCGCTTTTTTTTCTTTCTTTCTTTCTTTATGGTATTTTAATGGACACAAGAATTACTTTTGTTTTAAAGTTCGTAAGCATTTGTAGAAATTAATAATGATTATGTGAATGTGTCAGTTATTTGCGAACTAATGAAACAATCAAACACAATTCTGTACGGTGTTTTTATTACGTAATTAATTGGGGGGCTTTCAATTTGCAAAATTGAATGCACATTGCCCTGGTATGTTGTGTATATGAGATGAACACTAAATATTACGTTATCGATTTTAAAATGTTTGCCTCTAAGGTACGCTAGCACCTTTACTTCTCTCGTTGTATTTCAAAAAAGCACTGCCTAAGTATTACATTAGATTATTGGGTATTTATTAGTCTAAAGAAATATTTTCTTTAATTTTGAAACGTAACTGTTTTTAGTCGTTTTTTAAAAACGCGTTGTGTACACGACAGCAGATGAAATGCAACTGTGTTGTATTTACGGTGGTTACGATTACAAATATAAGCCACAAAGTTAACATTTTTTGCTGCTTTTTCTTTTTTCTTCACATTTCAAACTTATATTACCTGCCTCTTGAAGACAAAATGCTGCAAATATACTCTAAAGGTGGCGCAAAAAACTCTGCTAACGTAACTTTATATTCACACGCCAACCAAACTTATATACATACGTTTAAGTGAAATAACATCATCATCATCATCATCATCATCATCATCATTATCATCATTATCATCATCATCATCCTCATCATTCTCATCATCACTAGCATCATTATTATTATGATCAACAATTCCAGTAAACAACATGCAGCCACCCATCTGATGGTACGTGCCATTGAAAGAGAAGGTGTTTGAGTGTGCTTAACGGCATCACCTGTTCGCGCTGTTTCATATGATCACTTTCGTTTTCAATGGTTTGAAAAGCAACAGCAAGAGCAACACCAAAAGCAACAGCAATAACAACAACAATAATGATATCTAACCGCAAATAGCTGTAGCTTACCATTAATACACAAAGTCTGGTTAAGTGATCACGTTTGTTTATTGTTAACGTTATTTTAAAAGCATTATCATTAACATACACGCTATCACACATATTTTCAGTTGATGTGCATTCACATGTACTAACAATGCCCGACTATATTCGCGTATGTACATGTTTGCTTTGGTAAGCTTTAATATTTAACGGCACTCAGGAAGTTAATGGGGGAAGCAAACACTCCTATGCATTGCACTGCTCTTTTTTTTTTTTTTGCACAGAAACAAAATTGTTGCTGTGATGTTTGTGTTTGCTTTTTGAAGTAGCATAATCGGCTTGTTTTGTTAATGATGATTACAAGATGTGATGCGGATGCTGTGTGTTTCAATATTTGCTCGCTTTGTTTTTCTTTACTTTGTATTGGTTTTATCGGTTTTTCGTGTCTTGTTTTGTTTCGATAAATGAGCAAAAATTAATAAGGTTTCGTAATCATTAAACATACTTATATATGTTAAGGTTTTTTTATTACACTAGTGCTGAATGGTGAAGTTTACAGCGGTACATTTTAATGTAAGGCTTCATTTACTTAATGGTTTTCGTTAACATAAGTCATAAGTCATTAGTCATTAGCATTTACGCCAGTATATTCGTTTAATTAACAATGGAATTTATATATATTTTGGGCGAAAAGAAAGAAAGAAGAAATCATACATTTAGGAGCGATATTAACGACGACCTCCCTTTAATTTACTTTTTGAATATGGTTGACGAAGAAAAGAAAATTTCTTTTTAGCAACAAGTAATTAATAGATATTTTTAAAATTTTAAATACTAATACAAAGGTATAAAATCAATTGAGAATAACTTTTTGACGGATGAACACGTCAACATCTTAAGGGAATGTCGTACTCGGCATAAGTTTGCCTTATTTAAGGAGTTTTTGACTGATATTTTCGAAGGTTATAAATAGAATTAGAAAACAAGTAACTCTGGCTCGATAATGTGCGTTGTGTGTCCACAAAATTCGTGACATATTCATAACATCTGCCAAAAACGATGTCAGAACTTTTCTCCTCAAATTTTTGGTATAAATATCCCCCTAAAAAAGATTATCTAAACAATTTTAATAATTCGGGGCAAAAATTTTTTGAAAATTTTTTTTGGGTCATTGGAAGAAATATTTCTTTAATTTTAATAATATTTGTGCAAAAATAAAGCAAATGGTTTTTAAATAATGCTTACATAGTTTTTGTTAAATAAACTTGTTTTCCGTCGTTATAAATACTTGTGCAATTTTAAATATATATATTAAGAGGAAAATTTTTTTGCTCGAATAGTTAACCTTTTAAACCTATATCTCATTCATAACCAGTTCACAGAAGTCAAAATTCGTTTCTAAAATAAGCAGCAGGGAAAGAAAAACACAAGTAAGACAGTTATATTCGGGTGGAGTCGAATCTCGCATGCCCCGCGCTGTTAATATCTTTGGCGCCCCATACGTGAATGAGATGAAATTTACATTTCACCTTTTACTTCACTAAGAGGTATTGTTAAGAAAAATTAACCTGCCACGTTATGATGTCCACCATGATTAATTTACAGTTAACACATTTAGCTTGTTGTCATGTTGTTTTATCAAATTTGAACTCGATATGTTCGTTTTTGGGACTAGCAGAGTGTCCACAGACGGGTACAAGGGTACTGTAGGTTTATCAATTTAGTACTTCATGCCGATCAAGAATATATACACTTTATGGGGGTCTCTGAAACTTTCTTTAGGGTGTGTTGTAAACATTATGAAGTCAGTTGTGTGTGTGAAAACGAGACAAGCAACGGCAAGTACGCTTGTAGGAGAATCCGTGAACATATCGAAATTTATATTTTATAGGGAATTAAGTCCGATACCAAGTGCACCAAACTTCATCGTTGTCTAAAATTTCTGATCTTGAGAATATTGCATCCAAGTGCACAGGCAGATGAATATTGCGAATTCGATACCTTATGAAGACAATTGCACTTTATTTGCTCTTCGAAGAGTACACTCATTTGTCGTTGATTATCTGTAAGAAAATTAAAGAAAACAATGCAATCAATAAATATAAAAATAAAAGTGACAGTAACAGTGAAATCGAAGATCGCAAAACAGACAAAAGGCCTTGACAAAATTTCCAATGTTAACAAAGAGCAGTAGCAAAAATTAAAAACTGGATTATGCTTTTAAATATTACGCTAAGGAATATGTAAGAAATATTTTTCGTAAAATTGCTGAATGAAGAAATTTTCTAGGTTAAGAGCCGTAGGCCTTAACGTTTACCAAGTTTTTTTTTCTCTTCATTACTTAAATATGTTTTCGATTTTTCATAACCATCATCGAAAAATAGCATATATTAAATATGTCTTTCCCTTTGTTAGGCCTAGAAATACATATACATATATATATATATATATATATGTATATGTATATATACATGTAAAGATTTTTAATTAACGTAACGGTATGGGTCGATTTAGTAAAGTCAGGTCGTCTCATAATATGTATGTATATATCTACCTAGTTTGCAAATCTGCTACCAAACCGACGCTGGACATAGCAGATGTTAGTCTACAATTATTTGCTAAAACTTTTCAAAACTTTCAAAAAGAATGAGCATGATCCGCCGACAAAGATTAGTTCACAGATGTTGAACTAAGATTTAGTGCAAACAATTCGTGCAGCAAATTTTAGTTGAAAAGACTTCCGATCGACAAATTGACACGCCTACAATTGATGAAACACTTTTGACTTTTTATGAACGGGCTTTTTATGGTGGGTATCGAAGCAGCGGCATAAGGCACAGAAAACTTTCTTACTTGTTTTAATACATCCTGATGCAACCTGTTTTCTGTAAGTATTTATCTGATTATATTAAAACTGTTGCTAATAATGGCAGATATTATGTCCAAAATACCCATTTTATAGATGGTAATGTGTTGATGCGTTACGACATTGAATAAGGTCATTATCGTATCACGTAGTGAACAATTACATCATACACAAGGAGGGGGAGCGCTTATGTATGACTTTGTATAAAGCCATTTTAATACTTAGTTGTTTACATACACTACAACTATATAAAGAGTTATAAAGATCTCAACTGGTTAATGATCATATAAACATTGGCATTGGCATTGATACTGCGGCTTTTTTATTTATTTATATATTTTTTCTCCTCTTTACGTCTATAAAAACAAGCCGCAGAGTTCGAAAAACTCTGGTAGCACTTTTAACTTACATACAAAAAGCTACGTAACCAATGTATGGTCGTAGAGTTAAAACAACTGAAAATTGTGTGGCTATTGTGAGCAACGTGATTATCAGCATCAGCATCATCATCATCGTTATCGCTGTCAGCTAAGAAAGAAAGGTTTTTATGAAGATGAGTTTTCAACTTGAAATAACTGATCGATATCTATGCAAAATGCATTGCACCAAAACAAACGCCATAAGGTGGCCTGAGAATGATGCATCTTTTAAAAGTATTTTTATATATTATCCCGCGTTACTTTCGCTTCGATCAGTTAAGTTATGCATAAGTAAATGAAAACGAAAGTTTTATTCACTACATCGAGACTGTGATTGTTTTGTTTGTTTTCCTTCTTTTTTTTTATGCATCTCTTCCTTACATGAAGAGCTTTGTTAAAAATAATATTATATTTCCTGCATTTACTAGTTTCTTTGAAAAAAAAAAAAAAAAGGGAAAAACTGTAAACCAAAATATCCAGTGTTGGCATCTGTTTAATAATTGGTCTCATACAACATATGGAAGACATGTTTATTGCTTGCTTGCTATGAAATTAATTGTGGCATTCATCCATCAAATGCAGTTTACGTAAATAACGTGAGCAAATTTTGCTTTGACTTGTGTGCGATCCGAACGAAACCTTTGCCGCATTTATTTAATCGAAATATTTTTTTTTTTTTTTTTGCATTTGCGTACATTTACTAATAACAATACAAAAAAATTCAATTAAGCATACATTTGCATTATATTTAACAGGATTTGCAACTAACTTTAGGCTCTGAATTATTCCACATCCATATCCATGTATGAGAAATTTTCTGTACCGACTACCATTTAAAAATTTATCTGATATCTGAACAGGTTTCTTGTAGCTGTTTTTTTTTCACCACCTATGTCAGACACTGTAATTAATAATATAAGCAATCTTAAGTCTTTTGAAGAACAATTCTGTGAAAACATATATTTCGAGGAAAGCGGCGGCATGCGACGATAAGTAAATCTTTCATCACTTTCACTTATCGCTTACTTTGATCAACCATCAGAGTTGGCTGTAAAGTTAAACCATTTCGAAGGAAACCTGCATGAACTTTTGCCATTTGGGCGAAAAAAAAACGAACATACTTGAACAATTTGAAACCACT